GGCCTCTATTAACTAGTGTTCCCAGAAGAATCTGCTTGAAACTGAAGCACTATAAACTGAATAGAGGTATGTGTCTCCAGTCTCTTTCTTTGGAGAAGTTAAGAGAGATCTCATTCTTCAGTTTGTCTTTGCTTGCCTTTGAAAATTCCTGTGTAAAGGTTCCAGGTTGTGACCTATCAAAGTAGACCACATCCTTTTGTGCCCTTTTGCAAAGGGTTCCAGCCTGTGACTTATTAAATCAGACCACATCCTTTTTCTCAAAAGTGAAACAGCCTTCAAGAAAGAGGCACAGCCTGCTGTGTGAAATGGCAGTTTGGAGCTGAAGCCAGGGCTACCCCTATTATTAAGAACAGTGAAACAACCACCTCAGGCTTCAGATTATGAAGTGGCATCCTGAAAAGATTTTCTATATCTTGAATCAATCATTCATCAGAATGGACACTGCAGTCATGAAGTCAGAAGATGACTAGGATTGGGAAAGACAGCTTTGAAAGAACCAGACAAGATCCTGATGTACAAAGAAGTACAACTAAACACTCAAGTTAGGAGTGTCCATGTCATCATATTTCCCATTTCCCAAATATTTTCCATATTACCCTGTGCTCAAGTTCTGCAGGCTCAGATCCGTGGTCTCTCTGACTGAGTCTACCATCTGGCATGTGGTCTCCTTCTCTTTCTGCTGCCCTCTATCATTCATAGCATTACTGTCTTTTCTAATGATTCATTCCTTTTTGTGATGTGGCCAAAATACAACAACCTCAATTTAGTCATCCTGACTTCCAGGGGGAGTTCAGGCATGATCTGTTCTAGAACCCATTTGTTTGGCTTCTTGGCTATCCACAGTATTATCAGCACTATTTTCCAGCACCACATCTTTGCATATAGGTGAGTGCTGATAATCTCTGCTCTATTTGAATTAGCAAAGCACATAAAACAATCTGTGCAAAATCCTTGTTTTTATGCAAACTCCCCACCAACTTTTTGCCTAGAAAACATGCAAAACCATATTCTGTACAAAATTCACTCATTTCTGTGGGGAAAAGAAGGTTGAACCCAAAATCTGTATAAACTACATTGAACCCCAAATCTGCATGATCATTTTGCCACCAAGTTCTGAGATTTGAAAAATCTTGTGGCAACTGCTTCTTTTCTTGACAAGGTTTCTGAATGTACTGAGATACTCTTTCTTGTCATGAGTGGAAAAAAAACCTATGAATATACTTTACTCAAGGTTTTTTTGGCACAGTTCTTTAGTCCATTTTGCTGCCTGAACAAACAACATACAGCATTATTCCCAGCATTATTGTTTTTTTCCAATGAGTCCTCCCTTTTCATGATGTGTCCAAAGTACGACAGCCTCAGTTTGGTCCTCTTGGCTTCCAGGGAGCTTTCTAGCTTGATCTGCTCTAGGACCCATTTGTTTGTCCTTTTGGCTGTCCACAGGATCCTCAGCACTCTTCTCCAGCACCACATCTCAAATGCATTGATTTTCTTCCTATCATCTTTCTTAATTGTCCAGCTCTCACATCCATATATGGTAACAGGGAACACAATGGCTTGTATGATTCTAACTTTTGTGCTCAGTTGTATATCTTTGCATTTTAGAATCTTTTTTAGTTCTTTAATAGCCACCTTTCCCATTCTTAGTCTTCTTCTGATTTCCTGACTACAGTCCCCATTTTTATCAATGTTTGATCCCAGGTATGGGAATTTTACCATTTCTATTTCTTCATTGTCTAGGTTGAACTTGTGAAGGTCCTCGGTGTTCATTATTTTTGTTTTCTTTATGTTCAACATTAAGACTGCCCTTACACTTTCTTCTTTGATCTTCCTTAGTAGGTTTTCCAGGTCTGTGAGATTTTCTGCTAGTATTATGCATATCTTACATTGCTGATATCTGCATATCTTACATTGCTGATATTCCTTCCTCCTATTTTCACTCCTCCTTCCTCTATGTCCAAGCCTGCTTTTCTTATAATATGTTCTACATACAGGTTGAACAGATAGGGTGAAAGGCTACAGCCTTGTCTGATTCCTTTTCCAATTGGGAACCATACTGTTTCTCCATGTTCTGTTCTGACAATAGCTTCTTGTCCTAAGTACAGATTCCTTATCAGGATTATCAGATGTGTTGGCACTCCCATGTTTTTAAGGGCATTCCATATCCTTTCATGATCTATGCAGTCAAAGGCTATGCTATAATCTATAAAGCACATGCTCATTTTCTTTTGGAATTCCCTGGTGGGCTCCATTAGCCATCATATGTTT